CGCACGCGCCCTACAGTGAAAATCTCTCAAAAAAAAAAAAAATGAGAGAAGTGGAGCAGATGGTGGTGCAGAGGTAAAACATGGTGCTCTGTGAGGCTGACTCACACGGCAAGTTTAGGTTCACATCTAGAGTCCTCTTTGAGTATGCAGAGCACAAGAACACCCAAACATCAGTGGGAACACCAGGCTTTCTCTAAGGCTGGCTAAGGCTGGGGGTGGATCGTGGCATTGAGACTTTGTCCACAGAGCTCGTTCTCTGTCTTGCTCACAAAAGAAAGAAATAGACATAAAGAAAAAGAAAACTGAGAAAGAAACCCCTACTCCCCTGAACCTTACCTCGGTCCCCTCAGGCCTGGCAGGTGGGCCCTTCTCCCCCTCCTCTGCAGAGGAGGCAGCTGGTGCTCTGCGGCCTCTCCGTGTCCTGTCGACGGAGGGCCGATGCACAGGCTCCAAGCTGCTCCTCAGAGTGATGGTTCTCCGGGGTCTGGCCGAGGGCACTTCTGCAGATGAGGTATCTGTCTGGTCATCCCGGAGTTCAGAGCCAGTCTCCTCACTTGCAGTGTCATCATCCATGGCATCTACATCCTCCTCTTCACTTTCCTAGGAAGAGGAAATGCGCTTAAAAGGTGTAAATGGCAAGAGACAGTAGACCTGCAGGGTGACTTGCAACAGTGGCCACATGGCTAGCTCCAGTCCTAGCTCATTTACTCCCCATGTGGCGCCATGTAAACTCTTCAGCGATGCTGGTCCCATAAGAACCTGAAGACTGATCCATAGTGTCAGAGATGGCCCTGCAACCCTCTCCGAGCTAAAGTAGCCAAGCATGCTAAATCTGTTTCCAACACATAAAGAGGAGGCTGCTGCTTATTTCATGCTTCTAACGATTCTGCAGCAAACTTCAGCTGCAGCCTCTGCTATAAAGCAGTTATGTCCGCCAGCAGGAGCCACATGTCAGAAGGTGCTTTTGAGCAGAACATACCTCCCCAGAGCCTGCTGCAAAGTCCACAGCAGAAGATCTCCGTTTCTTTTGCACAAAAATGGATTTTCGTCGTTTCCTTCGTCTGGCTGGTTTGGGGTGACCACTTTCAATGTTGCTTTCCCCAATTGGTGGCTTAATAATCTTCTTTCTCTTTCCATAATAATAAGCTACAAAAAGAAAGATGATTAAACATTTTTTCACACTGTACACACATACATACACATGCATAAATACAGAGAGTGAGTGTAGAAGACAGATGGAGAGGAGAAAGGTGAAAAGGAGAGAAAGGGGGAGAGAGAGAGACCATTCTTTCATTTGGGACAATAAAATCTTGGTATTTCATTTATACCTCAGGAAATAATTCTAAGAAAACAGTTCCACAAAGCAGAAGCATTTCTCCAATACTTCATGTTTAGAAGGTTTAAATCCAAGAAAAGGGAAAAAAGAATCAAATATAGCCAAAGAACCTTCATGCATGGATTAGATGGATTGAGCCAAAGGAAAATAGCAAAATGTTCAGCTTCCAGTTCCCAGTGTCCACCTGCTTCCTCACTGGGCAGTGAGCTCAACTTCAGTACATCCTCACAGGGCTCTACCACTAGTTTAATTATATAGGCACATCACCTAACATTTCTGAACCTCAGTTTTCTTATCTTCAATATGAGACCTTCGGGACTACCTTCAGGACTAACTAGCGTAGGTTTTCATCAGGTCTAAAATTCTCTATTTTCTGTACCTCTCACTTGCATTTAGTCCGTAAGGATGGCACTCATCAAAACTGCTGAGAACCCCCCAAATCACAAGCACTGAACCTGCTCTGGGAAGCCCTGTTTACTCTCTTTGACCTCTCAAGAGGGAAGGCTGCAGGAGAGCTTGGAATGATGTCCTATGTCTGTTTCTACTGGGACCATGTTCCTTGAGGAGTATGAACACACTGCTATGGAATGCACAGTGCTTCAGGGTTATCTCTAGGTACAGGCAGAAATGAATAAGCATCTAACCTCTAAAATCTTTAGCAGGCCTGGCAAAGCTGGTAAGGTCTGGTTTTTAGATGCAGGATGCTGGAGATCAGAACTGGTGTTACTGAATCCACCACCAAAGACCAGTACATTTTCAAAGCCCAGAATTAGACCAGGTGACCCCTGCTCTTACTGCTTTTGATTCTACCAAAACATGATTTTGTAATCCTTCCACTAGAGTTTTCATTCTATCTGAGTAATATTCATTTTAAGTTAACCCAAAAGACTTCAGGATTCTGAAGTTTTATAGTACCAGCTCCAGAAAAATCATTATAAATTCATTTCAGTTGTGTTTGGCTTTAACTGTAGTAATCTGTTCCTTTCCTCCTATCCTCCCTGACCTGGAAACACAAAGAAGCCTAATTTTAAGATCAACATTCTAGGCCAAGATTGGCCCATGAACAAGCAGCTGTTACCAGTGAATCCCTACCCTGACCAAAGGTAAGGTAATGTGGAAGTGTGCTCTTCAGAAAGCAGAGTGATGTGCCTTGCAAACATGCCTGCTTGAAAGACCACGTGTGCAGACTGAACAGGGCCCAACATAATAGAAAGCATAACTGACCTTTAGTAGGAATGGGAATGGGAAGTGGATTTTTAAAATATATGTGTACATACATTGAGAGAGAGATCGAACAGAAGGAGTCACCTAGAGAATGTTTCAGCTACGTTCAGGTTCCTGGTTCCAACATACATGTTAACAAAACCACATGTAGTTGACCTCACAGAGCACCGAACACATGGTCCATGTCCTCAGAATGCCCAGAAATTGGCCAGGCATGGGCTGGCAAAGCCAACTTCAAATCATAGTTCCTAATTCAAAGGGTCCAAGAGGGAGGTGTCTAGGAATGGCTACCAAGGGTGGGGATGGGTCCTCAGAATGGAAAGGGTTGGGGGCAGAGCTTGAGAAAAACCTTTCAACCAAGGCAGAAATCACTGAATGTTATGGGGAATGGAAAAGTCAAGAGATAAATGTAGGGAACGTGGTAACAGCTTTGAGTTGCACATCCTGGTGGAAAGGCAA